CCATAACTCCCATTTCTACGAACATATAAAAGCTTTCTAAGCATCAGTGACGTCATTCAGATGTTATTCTCACAATCAAGTGCATCCGATGTATTAGAGATATATTTGAAAACCTTTTATTTTCAATTTTTGAGCAAATCCTGAATTTGGGAGGTCTTAAGCAAAAGCTTGAGTTTTGGTTTCCAGGATTTGCTGCGTTCTCTCCGTTCACCAGAAACTCCTGAACATCTCCTGAACATGTGGAGACTCTGGGACGTAGACTTAAAGACATGTGGACGTCTGAAAGCAGCGTCTCGCTCAGTTTCTAACTCACGAGAGATTCATTGAAAACTTCCACTGGGTGAAAAATGATGAAAATGTTGAAACTTCAGCTGAAAAACGGGCAGATGTCAGTTTCTGATGATAAAGATTGTTCCTACAAAGTTCCAGGAGATTTCTGAGCTGGCTAAATGCTACCTTCTGCTTGTGTCACATGACTGTATCGACTCACATGATTGTTCATCCTCGCTGTTGAGTAACAGTCCGAGTGCGTGCGACCGTAAACGCCTTCAGATTGTGTCGCGGTGACGCCGACTCTTTGTGCTCTGAGTATGAAGTGTGCGACTAGCGTGGCTGACGCGCCGCCATCTGTGCTGTGTTTGTTGCAGGATCCCCGGCAGGCTCAACGACAGACGGACGCCCCTCGGAGAGCTCAACTGGATCTTCACCGCCATCACCGACACCATCGCCTGGAACGTGCTGCCCAGAGGTGAGGCTTCACAAAGACGCTCTCCATCTGGAACGGGACGATTGAGTCGTGACTCAGCAGCCGTGAAGAGGCGCTGGAGGTCCAACGATATGTCAGAGTCCATGTGGTGGCGTCAACTCAGAACTCACTGTAGTATAAAGTCCTGCAGCTCTGTGGAACCAGAACCACCAGGACTAGACATAGTAGAGCCTCAGAAATATTAAAATGCAATTAATTATAAAAAAGAAAAGATAAAAGTTGAATTTCTTCGATTACTTACGTAGTAAAAATGACGAAAACATTGGCTGCCGTTTCCTCGCTCGGCGTCGCGCTGCTTCCAGGACTCCTGCCTCGTTACTTCGATCTTAAACCGTGTCAGAATGGCGACCCCTCGACTATGATTCAGTGTTAGGGAAGAGGAAGAAGTCTCAGTGAGAGAATTCTGTCAGGTGGAAAGCGGCCATGATGTGCGGCCGTTTTGTTGTTTGTTGGGGTTTTTGCGTTGAACGTTGAACCAGGACGTCACAGCAGAACCGACCACGAGTGGCGAAGTCTAGACGCTCGACCACGTGATTGTTGAAGAAAACAGCGATCGTGCTCTCGATGCGTTAAAATCCCGGCTGTTTGTTCTCCGGGTCTTAGCCGCAGACGCCCCTCTCCGTTGATGGTCCGAGACGTGAACGCTGACTCATGACGTAGATCCTCGCAGGTCCACGGTGAAATTGTAAAACATGGAGACGAAGCAGCATCAGGCCACGATAAGAAAAACAACTTTCCATCCAACAAGCCAACAAATGTGGTCCAGTCTTCCACCACAAACTTTCAGAGCTTCTTCTTCGTGGCTGGTAAACAAACTTTAGGTGCATTAGCGCCACCTACTGGCTGGAGTGTTACTGCATCAGTCTTACTGGAAACTAGGGAACTGAGAAAGGTGCGTTATTTTTTTAAAACGTATTAGTAATTAAGCTGTCGAAATTAACGCGTTAAAGTCCCACCACTAATTTTTGTCACGTGTCTTTGGATTTCTGATCTAAGCGTGGCAAGATTTTTGTTTAATTTGTACGGGAACCTCGTTAAAGCGTCACATTTCCCGGTTTTGTTTGGTTTAAAATCCCCAAAACCGTGTCGGTAAACAGTGTCTCTTAAAACATTTGAGGCAAGAAAGAAGCCGCGCAGTAGCCGAATCTGTCCTCGTTTCAGTTTGACGGCCGGTTCAGAGACGTCGGACCTCCGCTCGACGCTCATCGGTCGCAATGAAGAACCCGAGAACTCAACTTTATGCGAATGAGGAGCGAGCAGCAGAAACGCCGCAGTTCGTTTCACGTAGACGGTGAATCAAAGCGACGGATCCTGTGGACGCTCGCTGCTCGTTTCATGCAGGACCAGAACCTGTTAAAAGCCTCCAGTGGCCGCTGTCGTGTGAAGCGTTTCAGGAATTCTCAATCGATGGCGGATCTGCTGTTATTACAAACGCAGGCTTTGCTGTCCGTCACAGCGGTTTGCCGCCGAACGCTCTCAGGCTTTGTGTCGGCGCCGCGGCGTTCCCAGTTGGGGTGATTACTCCGTAATGCTGTCGTAACCGATAAAAGCAGCGTCCAGAAACGTGGAATCAGGGCGTTATTTTTATGCTTTGTTGCAATAACCCGAAATTATCCCTAAAAGCAGACGAGCACTTACCGGCGGCGGCGGTGGAGGAAGCACGAGCTCGCCGAGGCATAAAATCTTTATTTCAACACATCCTGGCGATGATGAAAAATGAAATGACCCGTGTGTCGCAGCTCTCAGGGAGCCCAAATTAGGGCACGCAATAAAAAAACAACTGCACAATAGTGAGGCATCAGCAGTCCTGAAAGTTGTGAGAAGCTCCCCGGCGGCGGGAAAGCGGTGAAGATGTTGATGTGAAACGCCGGGAGTGCAGGTCGGCGCCTCAAATGGAGATTAATTGTGTTTGGAGTGTGCAGAGCAGTAATTGGGGACATCGCTTTAACCGTAATTTGGCAGCTGTAAAAAACCAGCATATGCTGCGGCGAGTTTCAGCGCCGAGACCAGACGACTCACCAGTCCGTGTCAGAGTTGGATTTATTGCAGGTTTCTGTATCAGCGGTCGTTTCCTTTGGCTGGAAACGACACAAACAAGTGACAAAGTACCGCAGGACGTGTGCAGGTTCAGATAATCATCTGAAACGTGCAGCAAAGGTGGAGAACAAATGGTGAACAGAAAACAGAATGAAGATGTCGGACAGTGGAGACGTGAGAAGAGCTTTTTAGAACTTCTAGGGACTGAGTATGATCGCTGTGAAGGCCAATAAAGGCTTTGACCGGAGAAAATATGAACAATTTTGGCATTTTTGGTGTAAAATGCAAAAGAAATAAAACATAAATAGGTTAAAACTGCCATAAACTCCCACAACACAGCGTCTTCAAGTCTGTTGTTGCTCGTTTACTTAATTTCCATCCAGAAAATACAAATTGTTGATGCAGAAATCTGCAATAAATCCAAATTTGATGTGGATATTAATCATTTTTGGTATAAAGATTCATAGAAATAGTCATTATTTATCAAAAACACAGCATCTCACCATCTTTTGTCACTTGTTTACATCATTTCCAGTCCAGAAAATACAAATTGGTGAGGTAGAAATCTGCAATAAATCCAAATGTTGTAGTTATCTGACTCATTTTTGGTATAAAAATTCATAGAAATAGTCATTATTTATCAAAACACAGTGTCTTCAAGTCTTTTTTGACGTGTTTATATCATTTACAGCCAGAAAATACAAACTGGTGACAGAAATCTGCAATAAACCCAAATTCTGTAGTTATGTGAATCATTTTTTGGTCTAAAAATTCATAGAAATAGTCTAAACTGATCACAAACTCAGTGTCCCACCATCTTTTGTCGCATGTTGATGTCGTGTTCAGGCAGAAAATACAAATTGGTGACGTAGAAATCTGCAATAAATCCAAATTTTGTAGTTATTTGAATCATTTTTGGTATAAAGATTCATAGAAATAGTCATAATTTATCATAAACTCAGTATCTCACCATCTTTCGTTGCTTGTTTGTTTATGCCGTTTCCAGCCATAAAACTACAAACTGACTGGACGATTGTTCTTTTCTCTTCCAGATCTGTTCCAGAAGCTGTTCCGTCAGGACCTGCTGGTGGCCAGCTTGTTCCGTAACTTCCTGCTGGCCGAGAGGATCATGCGGTCGTACAACTGCACGCCGGTCAGCAGCCCGCGCCTGCCGCCGACGTACATGCACGCCATGTGGTGAGAACGCGGCTTCATGATCGCCGAGGCCTTTAAGCTCCTCGTGTGTTTGTGCACGCTGCAGCTAAAAGCTGAGAGGCTCTGTGATCGGATAAAAGCTCCTCTTTATGGTACAGGATGCATATTTAATGCCTGGAAGTGGTGCCGCTGGTTCTCTTCCTTCTTTTAAAAAGCAACGAGGAGATTTGAAAAGATGCGATCAGATGGCGAGCGCTGCTCCGAGCCGGTTCGGCCGCAACTCATGAACTGGTTTGTTAAATGAAAGCAGCACTCTGCTCCTGAAACAGCCGCCGATCGTTTAGTTTGTGTTTTTGTTAATTAGAAAAACGGTTCAGTCAGAGTGAGATACGTCCTGCAGTCGCAGCCGCTCGGCTTAAAGTCGGTTTAGCTTCATGTAGAGTCAAGAAGTCGATGCCAGAAAAGTCCCAGAACTAAAACACCGAAGAAATAAGATTAATGTGACGATTTAAATGTAAATATTAAGACCTACAGTTTGAGATAAATGGATTTTTGACATAAATGATGGTGAGACAGTGTTTTTTAGATCAATTTAAACTATTTCTATGAATTTTTAACCCAAAAGTGAGTCAAATAAATCCCAAGTTTGGATTTATTGCAGATTTCTTTCGTATTTTCTGACCATAAACAACATAAACACGACACATGGTGAGACACTGTGTTTTAGATGATTCCAATAAATTTGGACTATTTCGATGAACTTTTAGACCAATGATTCATATAAATACTAAATTTGGGTTTATTGCAGATTTCTACGTCCCCAATTTTTCTGGCTGGAAATTAAGTAAACGAGCAACAAAAGACTTGAAGACTCTGTGTCGTGGGTGTTTATGGCAGTTTTTGTCTTATTTCTTTTGCGTTTTACACCAGAAACGGCGACTAATTTGAAGAATATGAGGGTTAGAACCTCAATAAATGACAGTCGAGTCACTAACAGCTTGTCAGTTGCACTGATCGGTGCAGAACTTTTAGTTTTTTGTGGAGTCCAGGTGGAGCAGATGGTTTGTTTTTGGAGATTTTTTAAAAAATGAGACTCGTAGAATAAAGTGGAAGCTTCGGTGTTTCCCTCGAGGATTGTCAACAAGTTGAAAATCAGGTGCTTCTCTGTATTTTTACGGTTTAATGCTCCAATAAAAGGCGTCATTCTGGTGATTTTTAAAACCTTTTTATTAATTTTCTGCTGGTAGACTCATTAGAAGCTGGTTTGGGTTCAGCTCACAGCGTCTCTGCTGCTCTGTTCCCGATAGTTTATCTACGTTTACTTTATTCTACATGTTTCATTCCAACATTTACATGAATTAAAGCTCATACGTAATGACGCCAAACACCAAAGTTTGGAGCCTAAACTCCGAGATTTGTGTCGTTTCAGCCTCTGAACCTTTAAAAAGCAGCTTGTTGTTTAAAAGTCTCCAACATTACATCATTTATCGGAGCCAGAAGCTGAGAAAACAGAAAAACTGACGAGATTTTGAACTTCACACCAGCTGCTGCATCGAAAAATCAAAAAAAAAGAAAAAAAAAAAGCTTAAAGATCATTTTTTATGATGCACGGCTCAACGTTTAGAGTTCTGCGTCATCTGTTCCTGTTAAAGCTGAATATACGACGCTGTTCATCCTCTGAACTCAAACTGTAAAAACAAAAGTCGACAGATTTTCACCTTTTTAACAAAAATATTTTAACCAGAAATGAACCAAATATGAAACGTGGATATTTAATCGACTTTATTTACACGTCTCATTTAAAAGTCCTGCAAAAATAAACCGTTTGCTTTGATCAGATTCTGCAAAAAAATAAAAATTCTGCAGAATTTGCTGCAACCATGAAGCCGTCGGTGACTCAGCTGGAACCAACGGTCACTTGATGAAAAATCAGGGAACTTTTCAGCTGAACAAGTCAAATATCTGTAAAATGTGGAGCCGTTTTTATTTCCAGTGAAGGTCACGTCTGTGGACTCTGAGAAAAGTCACTTAGAGTCGCATTAAAAGGACAGAAGTCACGCAAGAGCCGCCTGTGAAGCTGCATTTAATGTAAAAACAGAAGAAAAAACCTAAAAGCTTCATTTGCGTCGTTGTGTTTCGTGTGAGCCGACACGTGGAGGTGTTCACGTCTCCCAGCGTATAGAAGCTCCTCCTTTATTTACCGTCTGGTGTTTGTAGGCGACTGTTGGAGGCTGAAGGCGTCGCAGCAGCAGCTTGTTTTCACATAAACTGTTGTTAATAGTTCACAAAATGCATTAAAGAGAGAAAAGTAGTTTATCTGGTTCAAACATCACGTCAGGATCTGGATTCTTTGTGCGGATTTCATCGAGTTTGTGATTATTGACGAACATTTTCTCCAGAATTCAAACTGTCGCCTTAAACATAAACGTAGTGGGTCAGAAGTTTCCCTGTGAAATAAAACAAAGCCTCATCTTCCTGATCTTTCAGGGTCGTTCTTCATCTTTCTGACTTTTCCAGCGACGTGAGCTTTGAGATAAACGAACCTTTAATCATCCGTGTTCGTTGTGATCATCGTTAATCCCGACCTGAGCGCTGCAGCTCCATGCCGCCTCCCACGCAGCTTCACCTGCAGCCAAACGCGCTCACCGTCGGCTGGAAGCGGCAGAACGACGGCGGCTCTCGGGGGGATTTCAGGACTCAGTCAGTGTCAGCGATGGCAGATTGAGGTTAAACCTGTCGCAGCGCAGAAAATAAACCAGGAAGCCACAAAACAAAGGCTTTTAACCTTCACGTAGCCGGAAACACGTTTCTCCACTTTAACGCCAACGTAAAGTCCAACGACATGGAGGAGGAGACAGAAGTCAGACGTGTCATGAAAACGGCCTGAAATTACAGTAAAAGGAAAAAACCAAAGTAGAATTTCTTTGACTGCTTGATTTGAAAAAACTATTAAAATCCCTGTAATTAGCTGTAATAATGTAATTTAATGTCCACAGCGGTTACATCACTGGACAGAAGAGAACGGAGGTGACTCCACATCCTACAGATCTTTAATTATTTATGTTCTTAATCCGTTTCCACACACAGCCTGCAGTTCAGCTGAAAGGTTCCCTGAATTTTTATTATACAGATCGGCATCTATTCTCGTTACAAGTCTCGTGTACACGCCGACACGAAGCGACAGTTCAGCCGAGAAGCTGCGAGCGACTGGGCTGAACTGCAGGCAGTGTTCACAAAGAGGAGAGAGGCTGGAAACAAACTAAATATGTAAATGTTAACAGTATGTGGAGCAACAAGGGCAAAAAAAACGTCGTAAAGTTGAAAATCTGGTTGTTTTTTTCTGTTTTTGCAGCTTCTTGCTCCGATAAATGATGTTAAACAACAACCTGCCTTCTTGAACTCACCGGCAGAGTTCGGAGGCCGAAATGACACAAATCTCAGAGTTTTGGCTCAAAACTTTCGGCCGTTAGCTGCCGTGAGGATTTGCATCAATTCTCGTTACGATGCTCGTGCACATGCTGCCACAAAGCGTGTTAGAAAGCTGAAAATCTCAGTATTTTTCCTGTTTTTTTGCAGCTTCTGGCTCCGATAAATGATGAAACATTGCCGATTATCGAACTCGCTGATGGAGGTCGGAGGCTGAAACGACACAAATGTCAGCGTTTCGGCTCGAAAACTTTTGGCCATAAGCTGTCGCGGTGATTTGCATCGATTCTTGTTACGATTCTCGTGTACAGGCTGACATGAAGTGACAGTTCAGCCGAGAAGCTACGAGCGACTCGGCTGAACTGCAGGCAGTGTTCACACCGATCAAAGAGAGAGGCTGGAAACAAACTAAATATCAGCAGGATGTAGAGCTGCAGCTTCTTCCTCCGTTGAACGACGTTATTTTGGCGACTGTTAACGACGACCTTCCTCCTCCAACTCGCTGCTGGAGTTCGGAGGCCGAAGCGACACGAGTCTCAGAGTCTCGTCTCGTCACGGCGTTTTGCGGCTGTTCTCGTTACGACTCTCGCCGATACGCCGCGGCGCTGAAAGGCCCTCCTGGTGTCGGCCTGGTGTCGGTCCGTTTTTGGCCCGGTGTCGGCCCGGTGTCGGCCGTCGGCCTGGTGTCGGTCCGTCGGCCCGGTTTCGGCCCGGTGTCGGTCCGTCGGCCCTTCAAGGATCCCGTCGTCCGTCTCTCACTGACACAAGCGCTGCTATTGTAGCTGCTCTCCTGTAAACGCCGGCCTCCATCTCTCCCACTCATTATGTGGCTTGTGTTGGAAGCAGCTCTCGCTCGGCTCGCCTCCGGCTCAGAGCTGTTGCGTAACCGCCTGGCGTCTCCGACTCTACAGACTTCACACAGTAAAGCAGGACTTGTGTTTCTGCAGCAGCACATGCAGCACTAAGAGGGAGATGAAAGTTTGGAATTAAGAGACTCGGGCTGTCGTTGATCGATGTTGGCGCCCCAAAACAAACAGCCGATTGTAATTCAGATGCAGCAGAGGCGGCCGAGCGGCCGTCGCTGCCCGTGGGTGGTGTTTTTTGGGGGGCGTGGGAGTCCGACGTGGGCGTGCGTCGCCGCAGATCCCTGCAGGAGGAGAATTTAAAAAAGCGCTTAGTCAGCCGCCAACTGGTCCGCCAGCGACACACGAGTGGACGACGGCGGCGGCTTCGGCTTCCCTCCTCCTCCGAGCCGCCGGCCGGCCCGGTTACATAAACGCCAGCAGGGACGGAGACTCGCTGGCAGCGCTTCCACACAGATCCCATCCCAGAGCTCCCAGTTACGAAACCTGAACACTGACAACAGAATCTGCTCCGTGGTGCCTCTGGTTTGGTGCAGAGACGCTCGTTTAGCACCAAAGGATTCTGGTAGAAAACATCCATCAGTCAGGCTCCAACTAAATGAGATTCATTAAAATCCTGCAGCTGACGTGTTAAAAACGTCATGAACAGTGAATTCTGCAGCAGAACATGACGTTTACTGTTTATTACTGGATGATTTTGGGCCTTTTTAATGTCTTCATGTGTAAAAACAACCAAAATAAGCATCAAAATATAAATATAATGATTATATACTCATTAAAACTGCATTCTGACAGATTACAAGATGTGTATTAATAATATAAACTGATTATAAACACATTTATTCAGCGCTTTTGTTGTGGAAAAACTTCTGTTTTTCACTGAACAAACAGATAAATGTCAGATTATAGAATCAGTAGAATAAAACGGGGATACTTTATTCACCGCAGAGGGGAAATTTAGTTTTATTTGATATTTTTGGGGGACTTGTGTTTGTAAAAGCAACAAAATCAACTCGAATAAGCGTCGTAATAACATAAATATCATGTTATATTTAATACAGATACAGATAAACATGTTAATGATCAATATACTCATAAAAACTGTGTTCTGACAGATTACAAAAAGATTGTTAATAATATAAACACATTTATTCAACACTTTTGTTGTGGATAAACGTCTATTTTTCACTTAACAAACACATAAATGTCAAATTGTAAAATCCATAAGCAAAAATGTGCAGCAAGTAAAAATATACAAGAAAATCTAAAATGCACAATAAGTGTAATAAACGCTCTAAAATAGGAAAGTATTATTGATAAACTCTGAATTAGGATCAAAGCTTTTTTCCCAGTTAATCGTCACTAATTGTGTCTGATTTTATAAATAAATATTTTCAGTATTAAACTTGGAATTTATCGGTTTCCTTCATTAAATAAAAAATATTTGTAAAATTATGTCAGAAATGGAAGGTGTTTGCTCTTTAATCTTGTTTGCTATCAGATTTTTAGGTCATTTCATTGATATTTGTGTACAAAAATAATAACATAAAAATACATATTTTTTAAATCATTAAAATTAATTTATTTTTTTATTTATTTATTTTTTTTCCCTCAGTGCATCAGCTAGTTCGTCCCACAAACAAATAATTATTATTTCCATTATCTTCTTGTCGCTTTTGTTCGAGTTGCCTAAACTTAAATAATTTGAATATAACTGTTACCTGGCTGTTGTCAGACCAACCGACCAATCAGAGCAGACCGAGCTTCTTAAAGGGACAGGACCTAAAACAAGAATCCATATAAATGTGTTCTAATGGACCCCAAATTATAAATTATATATGATACAATTAGATATATCTATATAAATATAAATGTATATTTTGTATCTTTTTTAATATATATGTAATTATAAATGTATAAATGTTTAATTATGGGCTCTTTAACGAGTTCAACTTTTATAACATGAAATGAGAACGACCAACACTTTTATCTCCTCTGAAGCTCACGTTGAGCATAAATATCGTCGCACGTTGAAAAATTAGCAGAAAGCAGCTGATAGAGACTCATTAGCCAGATAGCATTTTACAGCTAGCTTGGCTGCAGCCGCGCGGAAAACAAAAGCTAATATCACATCCGGTCACGGCGCTGCTAACCTCCGATTATGACACATTCAAGTAGGAGAGGAAAGTCACAAACCAACAGCTGAAACTAAAATTTATCGTCGACCGGAGTGACGTTTATGAGAAAACGGTGGATGCTAACACCGAGCTAGCGCGGCTGCATCCTTTTGTTTTGTTGAAACGTGAGGCAACGAAACCAAAGCAGCTGCTCTGTGGAGGTGAGATGACCTCCGATCGTACGTTAGCGCATTCGTTTATCTTCAGACTCCATCGTACCACCGCGGGCTGATGGGAGAAGCCGTTTACACAGCAGACGTCGGCGTCACTCGCTCAGCGTTGCGTTACATCGACTCATTACTCAACTCGTGCTAACAGAGAGGAAGAAGCTCCGTCGAGGCCCCGAGTTCAATTTGCTGCAAGAAATAAAAGGAGAAAGTGTAACAGAGAGAGAGGAGCTGGAAGAGAGAATGGAGGAGCTGTGATCAGGTTTGATGTGAGTTACGTAACCCCATGAATTAGAGATGATGACCATGAGAGAGGAGCCGGTGAGCAGAGAGGGATTAAAGGCTCCTCGCTGCCCTCTCCAGGACCCCCGGCTGGGAATCTGAAGAGGTGCATGTGCAGGAAGGAGAGCGCCGGAGAGGCAACGTGAGCTCGGGAGCAGAAAACCGACAGCCAGCGAGCAGCTAGCAGGACCTGAGCCTTTATCAGAATCGGTTTGAACCCGTTTTCTTTGCTCCGGTCGTGTTTTTACTCGCTGCAGTGAAAAATCCTGCAGCTCACGAGCATCACGAGAAGGAGAAGGATCTGAGTCTTCTCTTATGGCGGTTTTAGCGCGATTTTTTTGTTTTTTTTTTCTCTAACGTCATTTTTTTGACCATGTTGTTCTGTTTTCACAGCTTCTGGCTTTAATAAATGGTGTCATTTTTTTAATTTATTTTTTTTACGATGGCTGTTTGAACTTCTCGACAGGTTTTGGGCTTTAAGAGAATTTACAGCTTTGGTTTGTTAAGTGTTAAAGTGAACAGAATCAAACATGTTCAGCCACAAAACAAGATAAAGGACGTCTCCCTTCCTGTCTCCTCTCTGCTCGGTGTGAACACTTCCTGCAGTTCAGCCCGTTTTAACTGAAAACTCTCCTAATTTTTGTCACACAACTGTCGGATGGAGGCGAGTCAGCGACGGCTTCACGGTTGGGCTTTGAGACACAGAATTTTTAGTGTTTTACAAAATCTTCTCGGTGCAAACCGTCTGTTTTTGGAAGATTTTTTTTAGTGGTTTTGATGAAATATCAGAATTTTGGGGTTCCAGATGACGGCGACAGTCACACATGATTAGTTCAAGGACTGTGGGGAAGTTAAAAGTCGTGCAGTTTTTACTAACTCTGATAAATGATGTGGTTTTGGTGATATTTAAAACTAAATAACTCGTCTTTCACTTTCACTGGTGAACTTTTCGGCTCTGGTAGTAAATGTGAGGAGTAAGAATAAACATGAAACGAGGAAGAGGAGAACAAATACAAAACGTTGGCCGACGACAGGTAGTTTGTCGGCAATGTGTTGCAGTCGTTGCCGCAACTCGAGGCAACGCGACTGATTTGCCGTTTAAATGACGACTGATCCGAAGCAGAAACACGAAACTTTTGGTGCTAATGTTTCACCAGTTTGTCATTTTTGTTTGTTTTCTGTCACCAATCCAACCCAGTCCTTCTCAGATGATCAATTCGTTCCCTATACAGTTATTCTGGTTTTTATTTTTTATGTCTCCCGTGGCGGGGCGGCGCTGCTCTTATGTAATTGTGATGTATGTGTGGTTGCCTCTCTACAGGCAGGCGTGGGACCTGGCCGTGGACATCTGCCTCTCTCAGCTGCCCACCATCATCGAGGAGGGCACCGCCTTCAGAGTAAGTACGAGGGACAAACAAACGCCCAGACCTCCTGACCGGAGCTCAGATGCTCCGGCGTTCGAAGCCGTGATGGATGCCTCCTATCTGGGGTCCGTCCGCCGCCGCCGCCGCCTGTAAACACCAAACACTTCTTGTTTGCGCTGCAGCTTCGCCGCCACCAGCATCTCTATTAATCTTTCAAACACACACACACACACACACACACACTCTCATTCCCGGTGGATAACGTTGTAAAATGTCAAGACTAATAACTCAAGCGTGAGTGTCAAATAAAAAGGAGTTTGAGAAACCACTGGCCCTGCACTTTGAGCCACTGGAGTGTTTATTGTTGTATTTACTGACGTGGCAGGAGGCCGTGATGGAGATGCTGAGCGTAATGGAAGCCCGCTGCGAGAGGCTGATGGACACGATGATGACTTAACATATCTGGGTCAACAACACTCTTCTTCTGTTGTTGTTGTTGTTTTGCGTGAGTCGGCAGATTGTGGACGGAGCAGAGAAGTTTTCCAGGCTTGTCAACAATAGTTTCCATTAAAAAGACTCTTTGGTGTAAAAGTACAAACAGATTTATAAAGATGTGAGTGAATTAAAAATATCAAATGTGGAATACGTGATCGAACACATAGAGATGATCTGAGGTCAGTGAATGTAGGATAAGAGTCCTGGATCTGGACGGTCCAGACACTGGTGGGTCCTGGATGTAACGACACCATGAAGACAGAAGAACTCTACAAGAACTCTGTGGAGAGGTTGTTGAGACGCATCAGTCAGGAAACAATACAAGAACTTTTCCAAGTTCCTGAGCATCTCTGGAGTCCAGTTAGATCCATCATTAAGACATGGAAGGAACATGGACCATGAGTAGATCTGACTAGAGCAGGACGTCCTCAGAGACTGAGCAAGAAGGAGACTAGTGAAGGAGGCCACCAAGACTCCTATGA